CCAGGGAAAAGAAGGTTGGGATCACTGAAGTTTTTAGGGCAGCAGCCTGAACTTAGAGTCTGTTCATATTGTGTTTGCTCCGTGAATAAGAGCTTTTTTCTCTCTCTTCAGAAAATAAGAATATAAAAATATGTAGGTGAGTAGATTCTTGCATAGCAGAAGTGGACACCCTTGAAATTGGTGGAAATATTTTGCTTGACTTCTCTGGGGCTTCGATTAGCTCTTTATCAGTTCTGTACGAATTATTTTTAACACAATCATACTACGGAAATTACTCTTGTGATATTCTTGGTCCTTAGTGTAATACAGAGCATTAATGAATGACAAACTGCTGCAGTGCTTTGTACAAAAGCTGCCATTTTATGGTTTGCTTGGCCTGTGTAGACAGGAATACTGTAAGTATTGCGAGCTATGCTGAAATCTGAATCTCGTCTGTCACAGCATGGGCCTTGATTGCCATCAGTCCGCTTTGCAAAATCGGTGGTCTGACCAATATCTACAGAATTAGCTCAGATCAGCTTTTAATTTACCAGGAGCTTAATTTACAATTACAATTGTCATTTACAATTATAATTTAATTTACAAAAGGGTTTAAAATAGTGGGGGCCCAAATTTCTGATAATAACATACTTTAATGCAAAACTGATGAAACATGGCTCTTCTGTCTGGTCCTCCTTTCTGGTCCTGCTATCAGCTAATTTACAATTATAATTTAATTTACAAAGGGGCTTAAAATAGTGGGGGGCCCAAATTTCTGGTAATAACATACTTTAATGCAAAACTAATGAAACATGGCTCTTCTGCCTAGTCCTCCTTTCTGGTCCTGCTATCAGCTGTATTGCCATCAGTTCTGAATTTCAACTGCTTTAAGTTTTCGCTCTTACAAAAGAAGAGTACACTTTAGAGCATGTTAAAACAAGTACCATAGATTCTCAGGCATTTTATCTTCACTTTTCCCCTATTTTTGGATCTGATACTTGGCTCCCTCACACCTCAGCACATGTATCCATCATGTTTTCTTTTAAGTGTCACTGTTGTTGCATAGCTATGCCATATTGCCTCGGCTTGCATCACTGCAAAGCCACAACAGAGCAGGTTTGCAAGAACAAAAGACTTCAGAGGGATCAGAAGCCCCGTCTGTATCAGATGGATAAGTGCAGCTGGCGCAGTGCTCACATTGTGCAGCCAAGGCCAGGCTTCCAAAGGCGATAAGTGTACCTGTGTATTTGCAATAAAGGTAGGGCAAATTTACTGATAACCTAAGACTATGTGCTTGCTTTTTTTGATCTTTTTGTTTTGATCTTTGTAGTTGGCCTGCGCACTATTTATTGGTTTTACTTATTTTCCTGTGAATCTGTTGTCCATCTCTCTGGTACAACTCTAGGGTCTCACTTTTTTAGCCTTTCCTTGACAAAAAGCCAATAGCAAAAGAAGTGTCTGATGATCACAACCTAGCATAGCCACAAACAACTACCGTGTTTGGCATGCCTGTAGCAGCCCTGCAGATTTGGACCCCTACGTTAAGTTAGATCATAATTTGTATGCAGAGGTTATGCCCCCAAAACGCAAGACCATTTTGAGAAATGGAGAGGTGCCTTTACTTCAGGGAGTTTCTTTCAGTGGAAGAAATCCAAAGTTTTTCCACAGCGAAGGCACACTATTTCGTAGCAGCATTATTTTTCAAGGATGTTCTTCCTTCTCTTATTTTTCATCACTTGATGCCACATCCAAAGCTTTGGCTTCCTCTCCAAGCAGCTGCCTTGCCAAGGCTTTGGAATAGTGACACTTGCTGAGCTACAATTTCCAATGTTTGAAAACAGGAGCCTCCCTGGTAGGAACTGGACTAAAACCACTAGCCAGAAACCACTGGGTGGTAATGCATTGCAGGAACTATGAACCTAGGACAAAGATATTTGGGCAAACAGACCATTAACTACATCCAGCAAATTTTCTATTCTGCGCTAACTTCTAATGGTGCTTTTCAAACAGCTGATGAACAATTGAAATTAATTCTTTAAAAATGACCAAAAGTTTCTTATTACGGTATATTGGATCAATAGGGATCACGTATAGACCTAATGGAGAAACTAACCGTGTTCAAAGAGCTGTAGAAATTCTCTTGGCTCGAGTGAATGCTTAAAATACCATTGCCCTCCTTTTTTTTTTTTAAAAAAAAAAACACTCTTTTCGAACTCCTCAGGTAATTAATTGGAAACAACCCTGTTGCAGTATTGTCAAAGGTCTGACTAACACCCGTCAAACCCAGGAAACTCCAACTTCTTGAGCACTCCCCTGCCTGCCTCATGCTGTTGTGCTTAAGGTATTACTGGGGTCTACAAGAAGTGCATGATCATATATACTGTACCATATGTTCACAAATACCAATACTGGGGTCTACAAAAAGTGCATGATACTGTACCATATGTTCACAAATACCAAAGCACAGCAGCATGAATTAAGGATAGGATTTCAGCCTTCATAATGAAGAGTCTTACTTTTATGAGTTCAAGTCAGACCCTTAACGATATTTTAACATAGATTTTGGTGTTTAATTATGTAATAAGATTTACTGCAGTCATCTAACAGATGTTGATTCAGGGTCAGTGTTTCTCATAAATTAGTTCTGAAAGGATTTGTTACTTCTGGGTCAGCAGATAGGTCCAGAGTGCAAAGAAAAAAGGGGAAAAACAATAAACACTGAGTTGAAGGGTTTCTTGGGATTCTTTCTTCAGTTACATATCCACATATTTTCATGATCTTAATGACTATAGCCACAGGAATGTTTGCTTTAACACTAAAGATGGCTCAACCCAAAACCCTATATCCAAACATCTGCAAAGCATGGGAAAGTTCAGACTTTGGGGATCTTTATTTTATGACCATGACCCATTAATATTTCCTACTAATATGACACATTTTTCTAGGGCGCTAGAATGGAAGTCACTGTGGGCTCTAGCAGCACCTGAGAAAGTTTTATCCTCATGTGTCTGTTGTCAGGCTGTGCGTATCAAGTACACGTGGGGCCTGGTGTGGGCCAAGAGAGCTATCATCACATGGATGCACTGCAGAAGTGCACCCACCTTCCTTTGAAAACTCATCCATCCCAGGTCTCTGGAAGCAAATCACGTTTGCACATCCTACCGTTAGAGCTCTCTGAAACACACCGTGCGGTGATGTTATCCATAATATAATCAAAAACACCCAACATGTTTGTTCTTCTATAGTTGTGGTTAAAGGAGCTGCTCCACACTAAAATATTTCTTACTCCCCTCTATAATTTAGGCATGAACGAATTCCTCCGGGACTGAAATCATACGCTTTGTATCTTAGTCTGCTGGGAATGTCTGGGAAGAAAGAGGTTGAGGCACATTTAATAGCACTGCTAACACTCACGGGGCACTTTGAGCCTGCCAAGTCTTTTCCCAACACTGACGAGTGTTCACAGAATGCCCCACTTGAGGGTCCGCGAGACTAAGCCATCTTCCTAAGGCTGGACTGCATGCTGGAACCTATAAAAGTATTTGCTGAACACAATTGCCTCTGTCTTGGAAAGCTGAGGGGTTTAATGCCTGAAACACTCCTCCAAGAGGAATCCCAGCTACCAGCAAGGGCTTTGAAGTATTTCTTTCCCCGCGCGGCTATCACACCGCAGCCGGCGGGGAGCCCTGACCCCCAGCAGGACGAGGGTGCGGGATGGAGGAGAGTCCTGGCCGGTGACACAGGGTCCAACCTGCCCTCGGGGCGCTCGCTCCAAGCTCCACGCTCCGTCCCCGCCGCGCGGGAGGGTTTGTGTGCGCCTCATCACGGATGCTCCTCCACATCAGTGCGCTGCGACACTGCATCCAAATCGCACCTCACAGTCGGGCTTGAAACTCCACTCTTTTTTCAGGAGTAATTCCATTTAAGTCAATGGATTTACACAATGGATTTACTGCTGCCAGAAGAGAATCAGGCCTGCAGAAAGACGCACATTCTTTGCCAAGAGCCTCAGAGCTAACCACTCGAATTGTGCACTGGAGCTGCAGGGAGGTCAAGTGGACAGCGGACGGGACGGGGCCGCTGGGGAAGCCCCTGCTTCAAACCTCAGCTCTCCCAAGGCCCCGCTGCGTGACCTCGGCCGAGGGGCTTCATCCCCTTGTGCCTCCGTTTCCCCCGTTCCCTTTGTCTGACCTGTCTGTTTAATTTGGGATTTCTTCCGAGAAGGGCGCTCCGCTTTCATGTGCGCTGGATGGGCGCTGACACTTCTCCTCCCCTTTGCCGGCAGGGCTGAGGGAGCTGGTGGGAAGGACAGGCTTCAGAACGTTGTTTCTTCTCCACGCGAGCCCTCTGCCTCGCAGCCTCGCACAGCGCGACCGGCTGTGCGTCAGCGCGACGGGCACAGTTATCCTCACTGCATGAGGGGTCATCCCAACACACACGCGGAGGAATCTGGCAGCTCTCGTATTGCAAAGTCACCGTTGGGGGCTCTTGGTGAACTAAAGAACTTTCTTGCTTACTGCTTCGTAGTAATTTTCTTTGAACATTTACTTACTGATTGTGCGAGATGTTTTCTGAGGAATACTTCAGCCCCGTGGAGCAGCCGGGTGTGGGTCGTGAGCATGGAAAGAGGCTCGAGGACTGGGATTTGTACGTGTGTTTGTGTGTGTTTAATTTCCATAAGCAGAATTAGGCCGAGAAGCAGCACTTGTGGAAGTACCAGCAGTTTGGGACCCTTCACGCAGCAGCTTGGCCGTTATTGGTGAAGGGTCCAGAGTCAGTTGTCAAGTACGAAGCTGCCAAGATCATTAAAAGACAACGGTCACCCATACCCTATCCCAGCTAGTTGCAAAACCGCTTCAAAGAGAGCCTAGTAAATATGCATATACTTATAGTAACTCCTGCAGAGTCCTGTATGTCATAGGTGCCGAAGAGCAGAGCGAGAGGGTGCAGTCGGATATTCCCAGGGCTCCTCGCAGCGTGTTGATGGGTGCAGGGGCTAACGGGCTGCTTTTCTGTTGCAGTGGAGCATGACCGCGAGTTCCACCATCAGCGCTGCCACTACCGCGAGTTCAGGTTCGACCTCTCCAGAATCCCGGAGGGGGAAGCGGTGACTGCTGCCGAGTTCAGGATATACAAGGATTACATCCGCGAGCGCTTCGATAACGAGACCTTCCAGATTAGCGTCTACCAGGTACTCCAGGAGCACCCAGGAAGGTGAGTGATCGCTACGGGTGTATGGACAAAACCAAAAGCAGAGCACATTCCTTCAGAGAGTTATGTCCAATATACTTAGAAATGCTGGTGTCAGAGCATCAGGAAATACTTTAGGTGTCCAGTTTATAAAGGAGTCTCAATAAAGGTTAACGTGGCCACCCCTTATGGCATAGGCGGTCGACCCCCAGCCAGCCTGAGCACTGTCCTCCCACGACACAGCAGCTGGGAGCAAACCCTGTGCATCTGAACACGTCTAGCGCCGAAAACATCACAGACCCCGAGTATCTCATGATTTCGGAAAGACCGACCCTCTTCCTCCCGCTGCTTACGGACCCTGAGGTGGCAAAACCACATCTAAGTGCTTCCTTTCTAATTGTGTCTTAATTACTAGCCTTTACTATGAAAGGCATTTGAGATCCCTAATTAACAAAGACAGATGACACCATGCTCTTTATATTGACTGATCGTTTTGTGTGTGCAAAACTACAAGACGAGCTATTAAATCCATTCCAAGCAATGATTAACGTATGCCAAGCTCCCTGACAAATCCTCTGGGGAGCCTGAATAAGAACATATGTTTAATATTCTCATCTGTTTTTAGTTCCAATTATCAGCAATCCCAAACTGTTTATCAAAGGCACTTAGTTGAGGTTGCGCATTTCTTTTAAATATAAGTCCTACCAAAAACGAGAGTGCATTTATTTACGTGGAAGTATTTTATAATCATGGGCTAATCAGAAGTTACTCACTAGAACTGCTAAATATGAGGTAAAAATGTTATAGCCCAAATCTCAGTTCAGGTAAAGAGAATTACTAGAGAGCTCAAAGGAAAAATTCCAAAAGGGTAAGGAAAAAAAGTGCAATTAGAATTCTTTGTATTTTTATAAAAACTAACAAATATGCAACCCCTCTCCCCCCATTTTTTTTTTTAATTTTGTCATCCATTAGATACATGATAGGAAATCTTATCACCACTTTTAAATAGTGAGAATTTCAATCAGCTTTGCTATGGTAAGACTTTCACACACACATGTGCTTTCTTCCCCAGCTGAAATTTCAGTTTTGTGTCTCAAAACACATAGTTCTCATGACATTTTTAATGAGACGATGATTTTCAGGGTTTGGGGTCTATGCTAACATTAATCTATCTTACCAAACAGTGGTAATTCAAACTGTATATATTTTACTAGATTTTCTTAATGGAGAAGACAACGAGCCATATATGTGTGTATGACCTCAGGGACATCCTCCCCATCACAGGCCATTCAAGTTTATTCCCTCTTAGGCCCTCATGGAGATCGAGGTCTCCCTGTAAGGTGTCTCCTGAGGAGGTTATCTAGCTACAAGCCCTCAGGGATGACTTTTCACTTCTGGTAGAGAAGAAGCAAAAGATGAGTTGGCAGCAGAAGAGGCTTTGCCAGCGCACTGGGGAGCTACCAGAGACAATTTGGGAAACCCATTTCCAGAGTAAATGTCCTTCCTCCAACTGGTGTGGGAGGATTTCCTTCAGATGGTTGTTAGTGAGGTACCTACTATGAAACGTGCTGAGAGAATTAAGATACTGTTTATTGCCTAAATTCTAACAGTCTTCATTGCTTTTCAAGCTGTCTTTAGACACGGCTGCAGGGTGGCCGTGGGGATGGTTATGGGTGCACAAGCACTGGGACCAGCAAGTGTTTCTGCAAGCTACCCCCTTCACAGCTCCCCCTTAAAAGAAAACCGTGCTAAGGGCAAGCATATACACGAGCCACTGAGTGGGAGAGCAATCATGCTAATTACTCAGATGTTCCAGCTACCTGGCTAGGTGCAGTTTTGCAGTACGTTCATCCCAGGCACACCTTTTCACAACCCGTGGTCATGCGTATTCGCCCCTTGTGTACACTTTGGCAATGGGGAGTGTTGAACAGTTTGTACTGAAAAAAAAAAAAATCCCGTTGATGTGGATTGACCCAAGGTAAAAATATTGTCACTACCATTTGTAAAAATATTTGCTCTTTTCCTGCATTATTCCACTAACATTTTCCAACCAGCTCTGTCACAGACCAGTCATCCAAGTTAGTGTGTCATTGGGCAAGTGGAGAAAGAAAACAAACTCTCTCCGACGTTGATCAAAAAACACCCATTCACTTTGATGCTTCCTTGGCTGTTTGTCTCATCCTGAGCAGGCTGGAAAGTTAGACCCATCTGACGTTGTTAGCAACAAGAACAACACAAAGTCAAACCTTCCCCCCGGCACGCAGTTGAGAAAACCTTTGCTCACATTTTGCTTTGTAGATCCCTCTCCCTCAAGCATAGCAGGTACAGTGGTCAACAATAAAATGTAGATTTTCCTGCTCCCTGCTGTCTTTGGATGACCCAACGTGATCTCCTGAGAGCTTGCTGCCATTGCCTGGAAGACCCTTTTGGTATCTGAAACTGCAGATGTTCTCCCACCTGCAAGAGCAGCCGATGGTTGAGCACTGACCTGTGCTCCGAGGCTCTCCAGGTGCATCTGCTCTCTTCTGTAACACGGCTAAACACAGCAGAGATCAAATCACCCGCCAGGACCACAACAGCAGCACTGGATTCACCCAACCTGAGCTTGGGTGGAGATGTTTCCCTTGAGGATGAAAAGGCCGCTGGGTTTGCCCAAGGCTTGGTGTTTGGCTGAGCCTCAGCCGAGCCTTCGTTTCTGCGGGTGTGATGGTGTGCCCCCAGCTCAAATAAACGGCGAGGCCTGGTACTTCAGCAATTAATTACGTGCTTTACAAGTTCAGACAGGTTGGCAGATACTAACCAGCAACATCTGTGTCTGCAATTTACTGTGGGTGAAAAACACCGAGGTCTTTCCAGACAAGCAGCTGCACCCACAGCAGACAGCCCTTTCCGAAATGCTGCCCCTCAGTAATGCTGACCCCTGCACACCCTGGGAAGCTCTCCTTGATCTGCCTACACACTAACAAACAGACACGAAGCCATCAATCGCGCTAGTGAAAACGAGGAATAACCCGCCCGTGGCATCGGACTGGAAACCTTCCTGGACTTTGACTAATAGAAATTAGATTTCTGTGGAACTGAAGATACTGATCTTAAGACAGTACAGGTCACAGGTGTAGCAATAGTTTGCGGTATACAAGAAAGCAGAGTAAATGATCAAATATTCTTTCTGACCCTTCCAAATCTGTGAGTTCATTGCAAGGCGGGCTTTCTAACCTGGCAGTGTTTCCTTTATAGAGAGGCATGTTCAACATTCTTTAGTCACAAAGTATCGGCTATTCCCTTTAAGCAAACAAGTACATTCACGAACAAAAATGTTCCCAATATCATAAACGCTATGAAAACAGTTGATGTTTTGACTAATATAGCATGTCTCAAAGCTTTTGTGTGCGTAACTTCAAGTCCAGTGACTCATGTCCAGCTCCCATTTGGTCTTCATGGGTCACTTACCCAAGAACTTGGGAAAGTTTTGTGAAGGCAGCAACTGGGTTGAGAAACACCCTGAGCAGCCAGACTGTGAGTCCCTGTTTGTGGTCAGAACTCTGCTAGTGGGAACTGAAGGTTGCCACCTAACTCTTACTGAGATTCACACCAGGGTATTTCAGAACGCATCCGTGCAGTTCTGGGACAGATTACCAGTTGGAACATCAACGCGAGTTTATCAACATGAAGCTTCAGAGCAAATCCAGGCTGTGGATCTCCCTCAACGTCAGAGCTCAACCCTGCCTCTCTGTCCACACACTTCAGAAGCTAAAACACCTCCTCCCAGGGTTTCATCACCCATTCAGCGGACACTGCATTTGTAGTGTGGGGTAAATCCTGGTGCCTTTGAAGTTGATGGGAGTTTTGTTACTGGAGAGAATAAAGGCAGGTACTTGACCAGCGTTGGTAATTGAAATGTAGTCGCTACATGTTCACTTTGTGGCCGTTATGGATTTCACAGGCTTCAAAGGCAGTGAGTGATGCGGATGCTCACGTTAGCAGCCCTGCAGAGAAGCCAGACGTTGCCCCACGCGTGCCTGGCTTGGACGGGCACCTGGAACGCTTCACTCTGGGTTTCAGGCTGAGGCAGCTCTGCACCCGCATCAAACCTGACCCTCCCGGACCCCCTTCCACCATTCGTTGGAATCCCCATGTTGTGGGTTGAAACATAATCCCAGTAATTTAGAAAGGCTTAGCCTCACCCAACAGGCTGAGCAAACAGCACATCTCTTTGGAGCTTTCTAAAGTGCCGCTGTGATTATTCTAGGAATGGGATAGCTAAGAAAGGTGCAATTTATTTTAATACTGTGCCCCAGAACACTACCCTCATCTATCTGCAGGTACTTCAGTGTTAGAAAGGTACTGACATCAGATTTGATTTTTTAATGTAGCTTGTCTGCACAAAGCTTGCTAACTGTCCTCATTCTGATGTGCTCTTGGGCATAGCAGCAAGGGAGCTTTTTGCGTGAAAACCACTGACCCCTCCAACACCAACACTGCCTTTAGTTATCTCTATCTTAAAAGCCACCAGAACCTGAAAAGCCTGTAATAAACCTGGAACTGACTTGGGAAGGGCCAGCTCTCCCCAGGCACATGAGTGGCTGCAGGAGGCAGTTGGCCCCTGCAATGCCCCAGCAGGCTCTTCCCAGCTCAGGATGAACAGGGATTCACTGCTGAGCACCAACGCTACACATAAAGTGCTAGAAATGGGTACAAAATCCAATTCTCTCAGCACTGCTTTAATAAGAAGCTTCATATTTAGGAAACGTTACACCTCTCTACAGCAAACTCTCCCTCGGCAGATGCAACAGTCTTTCATTCCTAGATCTTACCTGTCTCAAACACCGCATAGAATAGGGACTGTGACTACTAGGGATGGACAGGATAGAATAAGAACCTGCTGAAATTCTGGAGTCACCGTAGCCTCTTCCACGATGCAGCAGAATTGACCCAGGTCTGTTTCACTATCATCACAAGCAGTTTTCAGAACAGTCCTAGCACACCTCATCCAGCAAACCCCATCGCCTGCGCGCGGCCGCGTGCACAGGGTGTTGCAAACGTGCCAGGGAGAGGCCCAGGGAGATCCTGGGGCCCTCTCAAAGTAGGAAAGTCTGAAAAATATTTTCCTAAGCTTGTCTTTGGACAGCTGCAGCTGACTTTAAGCAATGACACCAAGCAAACTGGAATCTGCTTTTTTTTCCCCTCTTTTTTTCCTCTTTTTTTTTAATCCAAACAGATGTCTTCCAACACCACATGTCTTCTGTCCCTCCAAGGATGTCCTTTCTGCCTTCTCCCCCATGCAGTCTCACCTGGAGGTGAATTATTAGTCCTCACCCTCATCGTCCCCCCAAGCACAAGTCCTTGAGCCGCCTGCTAGTAGATTTGCACCCTGCCCCATGTCCCTGCAGCTCCTCGACAGGTAGATATCAGGCAAGGGGACAGGATAGCGCTCCTGCTCTCACGGCTGTGGTTTACATGCTCAGTGAATATGACATTAAATATATCTATGCCCTAAGTGTTTCCCACTTTACTATGGAAGTGGAAGATTTGTCCCATATTTGCAAAGCAATTCAAGTTCTGTTGCAAGGTGTCACAGAGCAATTAATGCTTAGGACACCACTATATCCATAATTCCTCAATCACGGAGAGGACAGAGATGAGATGGGTGCTGCCTGCAGGCAGGACACGCTCTCTGGGTGAGGAGATGTCCCGCGTGTGCCCCCCTTGGCTACGGCATTGGGGCAGCATGGAAAGGGAGCAGGCTGCAGACAGCCGCTCGTCCGGCAAAGCAGGGGAAGCTGCCCAGGGATTCACCTTCCAGCCGCTGCCCATCGCCCGTCCTGCTCATTCTCATTCTGCTTGGAAGTGCTCATTAGCGTTGACTGCCACTCATCAACCAGCAACTGGAAGGGAACAGAGCAAGGGGGTGGGGAAGGGGAGTGAGGAAAATAAGTAAAAGCAGGCACTTTCTGCTAAAGGGCTCCCTCACATCAGTATAAACATTACAGCATTAGAGTTGTAGAGCTTCATCTACTGCTCTGTCTTGCTGCCGCGAGACTGTGAGCTCTGATTTTTGTATCGAGTGCCTCTCGCTAGTCTATGCTCCTCTTCATGCACCAATTCATTAAGTCAAGAGGATAGATAAGATACTGCATTTTTGTATCGAGTGCCTCTTGCTAGTCTATGCACCAATTCATTAAGTGAAGAGGATAGATAAGATACTGCATTTTTAACTTTTAGATATGCTTTTAACCTTTACGGCTGATGAGATAAACTAGAAAGATATGAGCAAGGTCCATCCTAAAAGGCAAAACAATCTCCCAAAGCACAGAAAAACAAAACAAAAAACAAATTGCAGTAAAAGGTAGAGCCCATACCTACCATTCTCATGACTGCTAATCTTGTCTCATATCTTTGAGTTACTGGGGTTGCGACATGGCCCGTGATGGGTGTCCAGGAAAGAGCCCTGGTTCATGAGCGCCCAGGAGAGCGACCGCTGACCCGCTGCCTTTGAGGCAGCTCCCTCAACTGCCCGTGTTGACCGGGCAGAGCTCAGGAACGGGGCTCTGCGGGGACGCTCCATGGAGAGGTGCCCAGATGTAACCAAAACACCATGTCTAACCTCTGCACGTGTCTCCTTACATCCCTTGCTCTTGTCATACTTTTATCATCGCATTTCACTTTCTCTTCTTTACCTCTAATCATAGCTCCATTGCTGACTCCCTTTTTCCTTTCAGGGCATTTTCACTTGCTTTTCCTATATTTTGTCTCCCATTATATCTGAACAGACCTCTCTCTTTCCAGCTCTTTCCAACATGGATTCCAGAAAACACTGAGTTTATTATGGAAATCTTGTAGAGCACATAGCAATTACATGACCTCCAGACATTTTGGGGAGTGTTTTCTAGCAGGAGGTGCCTCTCCTTCCCCGTGTCCAGCATCGGGGCGGCTGCAGCGAGCAGCGTTGAGGAGCACCAGCCCTCGGATGGAGCCGCATCGGCAAACGCTCGGGAAGGCTGAGCTGGAGGCGCTGAGCTCCAGCATTGCTAGGAGCTCTGACCCTCCCGCCGCTGCCCTTTGAACACGGAGCCATTTTGATGTGGTCTCAACAAAACATACTTGTGGTCTGGAGCTAGATTTCATCATTTACGTAACTCTAATCTAGACATCAACATTTCCGTGTCCCGACTTAATTTTCTGTAAAACGAGGATAATGTTCTATCTCTGCCTGGTAGGAGATTCTGTAGAGTCTGTCGGATGCTCCAAAGTTCTCCAGTGAAGGGACTGAACACAGTGCCAAGAAACCAAATCACTTTTTTGCCTCCTGATTGTAGATCTGCTTTTTCACATTGCTCCAAAAATGCTCTAAACATGGACACAGCTCATAGATAAGGCACCAGCAGGTGAGATTGTAGGAACAGACTGTGTGAGAGCCAGGACAGGCAGGGCAGATTGACGTGTCTTCCTTTTGTGCTTAGATCTTTATTCAAACCTAACCCTCAAAACAGTCATATTAGTTATACATAACTAATGCTAACTCATATAACAACTCATTGGACAGGAATTTTTTTTTAAGGCTAAGCAGAATAGCGTTTCTTTGCCCTGTTTACTACAACTTGTCTGATAAGGATGCCTGAGGAGCTTGCTGTCTACCAGCTGGCCACCTAATGCTGCTTCGCCATCCATCTTTTGGAAGAAGGGCCTTTCTATTGAAAAGGGAGGTTGTTCTTTATAAAAGAACAGGCAGTTTCTCATTGCTGGAAGGGGTGCCGTGACCATGGGACCTCATCAAGCCTCCCCTCCTGCCCTGGTCACTGCTGCAGGTCACGGTGGAAGGAGCTGGTCCATCAGTGCTGGGAACCCCCCTCGGAACACCGGACACAAGGTCCTTCTGCTCCAAGCGTGTGTAAGGACGGTTCTCTTTGGTGGGTCCCTCTGATCTCTGGCCCTTTGGGCTTCCCCTCCGGGCCTGTTGTTTGCACATTGCTGTAACTACAGGCAAACAAACGCGTTATACAATATCCCTGGCTGACTCACCCCAGTTCTTGGTGCATCATGTTGTCTGGTTACCCCGATTGCATCATGTCAGCATGGGAAGCTTAAAGGCTGGTTTTTCTGAGTAATAATATTGCAGTAGGACAGTAGCTAAATAAAAAGCACCATTGCTATTATCTTTAACCTGCAAACGGCAAGGAAAAAAACCAAGCAAGCCAAGTAGTCATGAACTAAACCTTGTGTGAATCATGAGTTCCAGTCAGGGGGCATGCTTAAATGATGCAGCATGTTAATATAAAAGTCTATGACTTCTGGAAACTTGGACTCGGGCGCTGGAACAGGCCGAATGCGTCCTACTCCCTCACCTCTGCCCCCCGTGGGCTGCGCTGTGGTCAGTGTGTTGTGAACAGGGCAGGGAGGTGTCCGCGGGGCCGCACCGTTCCTGGCGGGACACGGCCCCTGCCCCTGGGTGGGGATGAAGCCCTGGTGAACCCGTCTCCCATTGAAGCACCTGATGTTCCTGTAGGTGCGTTGCACATGGGCTGGTTCCCCTCGGCAGGGGAGCTGGAGCCCTGATCCCTGTGATCTCCCACAGGGCAAAACGTCTTCTTGGGCCTTTGTGAAGGAGCTGCAGGACCCCCCTTCCACACATTAGCTCTTCAGGAACTAAGGCCACAAGCTCAATTTCATGTAAACCAGTGCAGAACCAGGGGTGGTGACATCCGTTAGCTCCCGGCCCACAAAGGTCAGGAGGAAAGCAACATGCTGAAAACTGCAATAAAACTCCATTTGTGTTTCAAGTCGGTCATGTGGGGCAAGTCTGCAATTCCTTGGTATCTCACAGCGTCAAGAATCACTCATCTGAGAGGCAACAGCCTCCTATGTTCAGTAGCACTCTATCACTCAGTGTTTTCTGCAAGCAAGAGACCCAAGTCATGTATTAGCACTCACAAATCAATAGTGACAAAATTAATAAGACCTTCATTAAGCTTTGAGGACACAGTTAAAGGGTTTTCCAAGGATATTTCTTCATTCAAAAGGATAAAATGACTCTTAAACAAGTTATCATGTTTGCACACTCAAAACACAAAAGTTGCAGAATTGTCTAGACATTTCCACAGGGTTTCTTTGTTCTTCTTGTGTTTCTTATAAAGACAAATGTGCCATTATCCAATTTTGTTATTGTTTCCCATCCAAGTTTTGTCTCTCTCTTCATTTCTGATAAAATAAGATTGTTTTCCTTATAGAGCCTGTGTTCTTACAAATTTTTGGTTTACAGAAATTTCCTGGTAAACTTTTTGCAAGTCCAAAATTATTTCACCTTTTTCTTAAATGCAAGAAATCCTCTGTGTTTCTGATCACACTGTTTCTGGTTTCCATTCTTGAACCAGAATAATCCAACAGTGGTCTATTAGAAATTTAAGCAACAAATTGAAAGGAAATTGCCATCCAAAGTAATGCTGACCTGTGACTGTGCAGAGGGTTATTGCCTCAATCAATTATCTGTAATCTCAGCCGAAGAAATTTAAAAACCCATTATGTATGTTAATATATGCAGAGCAGTGTTCCAGGTGGTTCGCAGCAGCGCTGCAATATGCATGGCAGGCAGGAAGTTATGTGTGGAAAGGATAATGAGCAGCATTGTCTGCCCAATTACCGAGTTTCATATGCATGCAAATAATTTTGCCCATCTATGCCTGGTAAGCATTTTTTTCCCTGAAGTTGCATCAGCAGCTGTAAGGCTAACTGCAACACCACAGTAACCCAAAGGAACCAACTCTGCTTTAATCCATTCCCCCTTTTACAAATAGAAAAAAGGTAGTTCATATGCAGACGATAAAACAGCCACGTATGCCAGCAGAGCCTCAGCATCACCTGGGTTTTACTCCAAAGATCTACCAAGCCTGCTGCTTTTAACGGATGTGCTGAACGTCCAGAGAGACTCCAATGGAAAATGCACATAACAGAGGCTGTTTCCTTTCTTGTTTCTTCAGGGATTCGGATTTGTTCCTGCTTGACTCTCGAACTATCTGGGCTGCAGAAGAAGGGTGGCTCGTGTTTGATATTACTGCAACCAGTAATCACTGGGTGGTGAATCCACAGCACAACCTCGGGCTTCAGCTCTCTGTGGAAAGCATAGATGGTGAGTTGCAGAAAATAGCATCCATCAAGGAGCTTCCAGGTCAGGGATTAGCCATAAGGCACTCTGGGCATTCCCTTTGAATAGGATTTCTTCAGAATATTTTTTCTGGCTTTGCTTAAGATGCAAATAATGATTTAAAAAGTGAATCTGTAGATATATTTCAGGTTAATTACACACTTAAATACTTCAACAGGTTGGTATTCAATCATTAAGTATTAGCTAGGCGCATGTTGTTGTCAGAGTATGAGCATCCTTTTGGCTAATTTGCACATAGCATTAACGAACTTCATCTGAAATCCTGGAAGTTCCCGAGCGACCTTTTTCGCTCTTCCATGCCTATGCTGCTGTGTAAGAAGCTGGGATGTTTTTGCAATAACATTTCCTGCTCAGCACCTACACGCATCCAAATCCGGTGCGTTTTAGGGGAAAAGGGCAGAGTGGTGTCTCTCTCTTACACTTCTCTTGTCATGCTCTGTGAAACCACCAGCTTGTTTTCTCATGCACAAGACAATTCCCATGAAGAAGAGAGGAAGAAAATTACTACACATAAAAAAACAAAGCTGAGTGACATCAAAAGCTGGTGTCATTTGATACGGAAATCCCTTCAACTGCAGAAAACTGCCTAGATCCATTTGTTTTCTCTGTGGCAGCAGAAATGAGCAATAAAGTCACTCCTGACCCAGACTCCAGGTTCTGCAGCACACCTGTGATATCCACCTTTGATGAAGGAAATGGGTGGGAAGATGTGGTTCTGCAACAGCTTCAGATGAGCGCATTGGAAGTAGGGTGGATATTTCCCTAACTAAGCCTTAGCAAAGGAGTTATATTTATCTTTAAAGCTAAGATTCCTCCTGCTCACTTGGAGTCTTGTGCAAGTGGCCCCATGCGCCCCGCGTACTCTGGCAGGCGAGAGGCATCCCAAGGCCTCTCTCTGCAGCTACCTGCATGCCACACTGGAGGGCTGAGCAAAACTCAACTGGAACTTACTGCAAATAATCTGAATATACTCCTCTGACAACATACTTGCATTCTCCAGATAAACATCTATGATACAACTTGCCATTTATTTTTATGGAAAACTCGGAACGATTCCAGTTAAGCAGTATTTTGCATAAAGACTGTGCAAGGCTGTTTTGAAATAGGCAAATTAAGGAGAGTCATTGACATGAAAGGGTGATTTTGCACATATGAGATCTGTGCCCTGAAAGCTGAAGCTCATGGGGTTGTTTTAACCTGCCCTATATGAACAATAATGCAAGGGCAAAGCTGCAGAGCAGACGCGTCAGCCTGGAAGTTCAAGTCCCCTCCAATGACAGATGCCACCTTTGCATACAGATTCAAATTTGGCCTGATTTACAAGCTAATCTCAACTCTTAAGGCTAAAACAGTGTGGCAAATTAACAGCCAAGACAAGCTTAACCTGTTTGCAAACACTTTTCCTTGTGTTTAGTTCTCCTGCTTGCCTCCTAAAGGAAATACTGGGGAGGCTCTAAGTCATGTCCACAGCAATGTCACTCATTCAGTTCTGAGTTCGCACATAGGAAAACCATGCAGGCCCAGCCCAGAGGCCACAGAAGAGCAATAGCTGCAAGGTGGTTTGAGATTAATACAGATTCCTCACTGTCCTTCCTTCGTTGTTCCACTGATAAAGCCTCATCATTGCTCTGCCTTGTTCTGTCTTTTCTGTCTTTGTCAGTACTTACCCAGTAGTTTTACAGAAAACAAAAATTACTTTTCTCATCATTGAGGAGGAAACCAGTGGACAAACCCCTCAAATCTTCCCAGAGAGCTTTTAAAAATGCAGTTTCCAAAGTTGAGACTACTTTCATGAATGCTTTAAAGCTAATATAAGCCAGCGTTGCCAGGAAAACAAGAAAATCCCACCTGTCTCCTCATTATAAGCCTAGCTACTCCACCTCTGCTTCTAGCACCATGCAGGACACTAAAATCAAAGCTTTGACATTTCAGACTGTCTCAGAAGCTGCTGGAACGCCTCGCTGCAGCGCTGAGGCCCTGCTGGGAGCTTTGCTCAGCTGCAGCCCGAGCACGCTGGACTTTCTTTCCCAGATACCGTCACAAGCCACTCCAGACATCCATCGGAGATGCCCAAAAGGTCTCGGTTTAAAACCTTCTTCCCTCAAAATCCAGCATCTTCCATGTTAAACACATTTTTGCCTTGCTGCATTTCTTGATTTCCCAAAGCTAGTAGCTGGAATCCAGGTTATCAAACCTCACACTTAAATGCTCACCTACTTATTGAATATACCTCACACTTATTGACCACACAGGTCAATACCCATGAACTAAACCAAATACGCAGGAGCTGCCGATGTTAATTTGGCTGGAACGTTATTTTCACTCACTTCCAGTGTTTGCCTGAGTCTTCAAAAATGAAGGAAATACAAGTAATATCTACTCAAACAGCCTAGCAATATTGGTGACAGTACAAAATATACATCATTGCTTGAGACAAAATTACACTTTTTGTCTTCCAATAAACCTGCAAAGTCTTTGAGCTTGACAGTCTCAGTCTAGAAACACTGCCTTTTCTGCATATACACCATATTTTGTAAATCAGTGCTACAGAATGCAATAAAACTCTCCAAGAAGAGCGCTGATGAGGGAGAGAGAGGTATTCAACTGAACATTTTATTGTGTAAAGCATAGGAACTTCATGACATTATGGCGTTCATATAAATAACTGAATACCAGAGGTTCACAGAGGATTTTTCAAAAAAGGATGCTGTGTTCCTGGACGCAAGGGAACAACACGAGAAAGGATGAGAGTACCAGCAGTAAGGAAATCGTGAAACAGCCTAATGCGACGTTTCTAGCTGTGACCAACAGCAATTCTTTCGGAAGAAAACAGAGGTGCCATTGGAATGGGGAGCAAGTTACTGCCTCGAAGGCCGAGCTTCCAAAGCTCCATAAGGGGTTGGAGGTTCAGATTTTCAAGCTAACTTTCTCCCACCTGACTTATGATCGTAAACTCTCTTGCCTTCACTGCACCCGTGCCTTCACGGACACAGCCTGGTCTGTGTGTGTCCAGGAACTACTGTTATTTTTCCAGATATTTAGTCTGAAATATTGATTTATGAATACGGTACGGATTTCAGGTCAGACTTTTCAGGGTCCCATGTACAAGGAAAGGCTGCAGCCACACTCACATAGTGACTGGGTCTGCTCTGCTTGAGCAGGCAGAAGTGGGCCCTGAAAAACATATGAGCAGACCCATTACCAACACGGTTTGCAAAAGCAGAAATTCTCAGCTCCAATAATAAACAAATTCATAGCTGTTATTTGACTTGATGGAAATTAGGAATCTAGTTCCTGTTTACACTCCTGAACGGTCTAGCTGAGTTCATAAACATTTTTGAAACCATGCAGAGAGTAACGTGCTGCTTTCTCAAAATAAATGAGCGAAGTATTTAAATCAGCCTGTCATGCAAAAAGAAAAGTCAATCGCAACCTTTAAAAATGAAGCCAGTGGCCTGTCTGCTGTCACAGAGCAGCCCTGGCAGCACACCTTTGCGCTCCCTTTACCATATGGACAGATTTTTCTTTTCATCCTGAACAGCAAGGGCATGTCTTTCCTTGCTCCCTACGTTTTGTTTTGGATTTAGACCAACTTCAGGCTAACGAGGACACTGCTATTACACCTGGACTTCATATGAAAATCATATGTCTGCAAACACAGTAGGACTTTGATGCAACACCGTATGCCTGGGCAATACCCAAAACTTTCAGTGATATAAAACTAGCTTTAAAATGAATAATGAGTCAGAAAAATCCTTCGAGCTTTCTTGGTTTTATATTTTGCATCGCTCGTTACTCAAAGAAATCTAACCATAAAGCCAATTCAAGCTGTATAAAAAAAATATATGAAGTCATGAGCGCTGTTCAGATGAAATGACACAAAAGAAGTTAGTTAATTCTACTGGTGTTTGTGTTGCTTTATAACCGTGCCAGAGCAGCCCATCAGCATGCAAACCAGGGTGGAATCAAAGGGTGTTTGTTTACTTGCAGACTGCAGGAGAAGCTCAAGCACCAGGCAAAAGAAACGACTGAGTCACTCGCCCCCAGCAGCGCACATGAACAACAACCGGCTGTCTAGGTTTACTTGGTTTATATTTTGAGGTTCTATTTTTGATGGTATTAAGAAAGCAGCTTCTTAAAAGCAGCTAAGGCCGTGTGCTCTGATGCCAGAGCACAGCTTTAGTTCTTTGGGGAGAAGTTTATCACCCATGCATGTCTTCATGTTTAACCTTGGCTTCTGGATGCACAGGAGAGTTAACTAAATTGGGAAGAACTCAGTAATAGGCTACTTCTTAGAGTGCTATTTACCTTTTTCCACTATACTGGTATTGAATGTGTTGTTAGATTTAGAACTTGTCGGTCAAATTCTACTTATTGCTACGCTAATGCAAATTAATTAAACACCAGTGTCAAGTAGAGTCCCCTCTCCGCACGCTGCTCTCCAGAAATGCAGTGAAGATAAGGTAATGCACAACAGTTGTTCCCGATACCATCCTCCATTTCACAACGGCACCCAGCCGCCCAATGGAGCAGGGAAAATGCTAAGTTAACCTCATCTTTCATAACAAATGGATTTCATTCTACAGAGAAACCACTCGAGTCATCTTTTACCCTCAACAAAAGAACTCGCCATGAAAGCAGCATGAAGGGCAGTCAACATATCTGCAGCAAGGTTTTCAGATACACTAATACTGAATATGAGAGACAGAGCAATAAACAAAATGTTCCCAAAGAGCTGAGCTATTTGTTTCTTCCAGCTACAGTATATCTGGAACCCTGTCAGGGTTTCATACAAGGCATTTTTATTTTAAGTTAATAACCTTCCAGTGGGAATTTAGTGTTCCTATGGGCTGAGTTTTATGGTTCCTTTTATAGGATCACTTCAAATTATAGGCTGGTGAACTTAAAGAAACCCCTCTAAAGAATGCAGGAAAAGCTAATACTAAGCGGATTTCGGGTAAAATAATTATATGTATGAGTATTTTATATAACTTTTACGCACAGATATAAAATGAAGTTAGCGGTGCGGAGCTGCTGTCAGGAGCGGCCTGGCCCATGAAGGTTGATGAGGCCTCGGACCCTGGCACATGGGCTGGGGTCCCCGCTGCCACGACGGCACTTGGGGAAGGGCAGGGTGACCGTGATCCCTCTTATCCGTACCCAGGACAAAGCATCAACCCCAAGCTGGCCGGGCTTATCGGGAGGCACGGCCCGCAGAACAAGCAGCCCTTCACGGTGGCCTTCTTCAAGGCCACGGAGGTCCATCTCCGCAGCATCCGCTCCGCGGGCGGCAAGCAGCGCAGCCAGAACCGCTCCAAAACGCCCAAGAACCAGGACGCCTTCCGCGTCTCCAACATGGCAGGTCAGTGGGGTTGTCCAGCCACCGCTTCCAAGAGACGGGAGAAGGCTCTGATGTCCTTGCGACTGGATGGGAAGTCTCTCTCCTACGGGCAACTTCTTGTCCTTTTGGTCTAGCGCTATTTCTTGGTTGCCGGTTTGAAACTATTTGGAATTAGGGATTATTCTGAAAGAGTCAGGGAAATTGTGTTTCTTTGGAAAGAGTTAAATTGAGGGATTCCTTTATTCAATTAAAATTGTAACTTTTGGTTCCCTGTTTGAAATAGCTTCTAATAAGAATTATTTTTGATCATTTCATGCTTGATTTACTGTCATGAGCTGTTTCAGCTGAGCCGAATCAGAATGCTGTAGATTTTGAGTTTGATTTGAATGTTCCCTTCCCCAACCCACTCTTGAAACTTCAGAAATCCCTGGAGTTCTCCCGGAAGAGGGAAGTCCGGCCTTGCCCGGGCCGACCGCAGCTATTCCGGGGAGCTGCGCTTCCTAATATGGAAGAAAACTCTAAAATTGTGCATCTAAAATAGAAGCGTGGCCTAAGCCCCGAATGCCTCCAAATAATGACCTCGCTGCAGGCAGGAGCAGCCCCGCGGGCAGCGGCATCCCCGGCTGCAAAACCCTGCAGAATTGGGCCCAGCCAATGCCTTGTACAGTGACAAATAGTGAAAAACACCCACCTGGGCTCCCAGATTTCCTACATGTTATTTGGGTGTCACAACGTTGCTTTTGGGGGCCTGAAGGAGCAAGTGTCCCCTGTAACGCACGTGATGCCAGCAGCGCAATGGTGAGAGGAGCCCTTCCCTCTCGCCCCGCTCACGGGTTCTCATATTGTACAGCAGATAATAACCAGAGCTGTGAATTTTATACAGCAGATAATAACTAAAGCCGTGAATTTTGCCAACACGGGTTAGAGGAAGCCCGGGAAAAGCGAATTTGAGCTTCCCAGGCCTTCCTTGGCTTTGCACAAGAAGCCAGAGGTGTTTTTATTTGTTTTTTAAATATATATTGAACCCAGTCATTATTTTCCAACTAAAACATTAAAAAGAAAACAAAAAACCCCAAGGATGAGTGCTGTGCCCTGCCTCACGGTGCCTCCCTCCCGCCCGTGCAGAGAACAGCAGCAGTGACCAGCGGCAGGCCTGCAAGAAGCACGAGCTCTACGTCAGCTTCAGGGACCTGGGCTGGCAGGTAAGGACCCTCGGCCAGGCCGCTTGTGGTACTAAAGACTGGAGTTTTATCCCCAGGAGAAAAGGGAACGTTGCCTTTGCCTTGGCATGCTCAGCGAGCACGTCTGCAGAGCTGGGGGGCTGCAGCGTTAGCACCCACCGGCTGGAAACTCAACACACGCGTCGGTGGGTGAAGAGCTGCAGACACCGGGATGGTTTTGTCCTGGTTATGGGGATTTTCACTTCTGAAAGCAGGTTCCCTGTCTTTTGGTAGCACATGAGGGGTTCCATGCAGGCAGCCAGCACTGCTGAATGGCTGCTAAAACAGAACCCTAAGATGCAGCTACTCTTTGGGCACCCTTGCAGAGCGGGATAGCATTCTCCAGGGAAAGTGGCTGCTTTAAAGGTATAAAAGGGTAATACTAGAAAGGCCAACTTACCAGCTCTTTATTTTTCAGATTACTATAACTATATGCAGACACGTGAAATAATAATTGACATGCCATTCTAGCTCTCCTTTCCCTGTGCAGTATTTTTGTCTTTCTCCACAACTAACCTATGCTCCATTTCCTCAAGGACTGGATCATCGCTCCAGAGGGCTACGCTGCCTATTACTGTGAAGGAGAATGTGCTTTCCCCTTGAACTCGTACATGAACGCTACGAATCACGCCATTGTGCAGACACTGGTGGGTGCAACTTGGCTTGGATTGTGGGGGTGTTTTGGACGGGTGCAGCTCACAAGTAAGCCTGTGCAAAACAAGTCCTCGAAGCTAACGAGAAAAGGAAGGTCTGCATTAGCTCATTAGGATGCCTGCAGCATCTGGCTAAACATGTCTGGCCAAGTGGCCTGAATTAATATTTGGCTAGGAATTACCCTGCCTTTGCTGCAAGCGTTGACATGCTCTCTCTAGTTTCAAGGGGCCCTGCGATACGCGCTTTAACGGTATAGTCCCACTGCATAGGAAGGAAGGAAGGAGCAGGATGTGAGAAGGGGTATCAGCATCGCTTGGAAAAGCTCCGCAAGGATCCACCGCGTGCCAAAACTAGACTGGGGGCAGCCTGAACGGGGGCCAACGAGGCTCTACATTTCATAGCCCAGCTGCTCCATGGAGATATTTATCATGTGAAGGGGAGCAGGGGCAAAGGCAGTTTCCTCTGCGCGGTTTGGGCTCCTCCACCTTTTCATCTCCTCCTGATTTTGCGTCAGGCTCTTTCTCTGCATGAGTGGTGATACTGCAGAAAGGGTTAGGGAACCCAGGAACGCCTGCGTTTCAAAGGGAAGCCCTTTCTGCAAGCTTTTCTCTTTTTATCCAGCTTTCCCCCACCCTTTCTGCCACGTTCCTGCAGCCCCTGGAGCTCCTGCGGGCGCTGCCGGCCGCAGCCCCGCGCTTGGCAGGGCTTTGCACAGAGCCTGGTACCTGCTGCAAACACCAGCGGCTCTGACAAACGGGCATTTCCTACTGAAAAGCTGCTTCCCTGAAAGCTTCCCAGCTAGATGGGAGCCGGGCGTGCGCGAGCACCGGCCGCGGTACGTGCAGGGGCAGCGTGGGACGCCGTGCACAGAGCCCGGTGCTGGAAACGCGCTGGCCTGAGCATCGGCGAGAGGGGACAGGAGAACACGGGGAGGAGACGGGAAAGGTAAATCCTAACGCGCCTCTGCTTTCCCTCCCTAGGTCCACTTTATAAACCCAGAGACTGTGCCGAAGCCCTGCTGTGCTCCTACACAACTCAACGCCATCTCAGTGCTCTATTTTGATGACAGCTCTAACGTTATCTTAAAAAAGTACAGGAACATGGTGGTACGGGCATGTGGCTGTCATTAGATTTGTAGGAAAGGAAAAAAATGTTATTTGTAAAGAATGGTTTTCTTTTTGTACGGATACATGGGTTAGGAGGTTAGGACTCCAGCAGTGGACTTTAAAATCCCGAACAATTTTTAGGACTTGGCTTCTAAAGGTTCAGACAATGGAACAGTTTCTGGATCTAAGTGGCATTTGAACACATTTTGTTTTAGTTTATTATAGACAATGAGCTTGTAAACTGAAGCAAGCCAGAGAAACCATTAAAAAACCAAATCTGCCTTAAAAATTGGCTCCTACAATACATACTTCTGCAAATGAGTCTTTCAGAAGATTGCAAACTCACCAATGCCCATTGTGAATTAAACATAATAATCTATCCAAGGTGAGAATGTGGTGTGACTAATAAGCATGTGTAGTTCCTGTAACACACTGTTTGCAATAAAATAAGTGAACAAAATATACCTGGAGTGAACAGGTATTTTGTTAGAGAGTTCTTACTTCCATCCCTCTGGTTACTTCAGCCTCATGAGCAGAACCAAAGACGATTACTGCAACTTCCAGTACTGGCAGCGGGAAAAGCTGTATCTGGACTGATTCAAGTTCAAAGGACAAATAAGTCTAAAACGACCTCTAATTCACAAGCAAAGGAATGGATGAAAACAATTGAAAAGAACAAGATTTTTCCAGTATAATTTTTGTCAACAGGAAGAATAATGTTACTCTAGGCCCCAGTAAGAGTTTGCTCTGAACTTAAAGCAGCAAAATACTAGAAAACAGTGATTAAACTGAACATTTAGCTGGGGCATCCTGAACACTTCTGGAGTTGTGAAAGACGGCAGAAAATTCTGCTGCTGTTTGGAGACCATCCATCCACTTCAGCAATGAACAGAACGAGCTCCAAGACATTCTGGAAAACGTGGAGCCTTGGACACAGGAGGCCCCGTTTGCTGTGCCCAGCACCGCACAGAGAGCGGGACACAACGTGGAGAACCTCTGTAACGGGGCCAGTATCTTCTATAAAAATCCTGCTGCATTATCAGCTTTCCTTAAAAAACAACAACAAAATCGTTTTGAGGAGCCACGTCAGCTAGCTGGAACCAGGAGCAAGACAACATCCCCTCAAGGCTTTTTCTCCTTTTTAAGTCACAGGTTACACAAATATCTCATTTATGTAATTAAAACTCAAGCTTTGTAATGAGAACACGGAGTAGCAGTCGCCAATCACAAACCGATCAGAAACTTTAGCATGTGTGGCGATTACAGAAGTAGGATCGGTATAAACTGCCCCCGGGAGAGAAAAAGAAAATTCCGTCCAATAAATCACGGCGTTGGCACATCCCGAACTGTAAATCTCCGAGCTTCGGAAACGGAAACCTCCCCGAGGCCGGTCGGAGCGCGCCGGCTCCCCGGCACCCCGCGGAACCCGGCCCCGCGGCGCAGGAAGATGGATGGAGGGAACCACACGATTCTGGAAATCACTCACTATTCTTCCTTTAAGTCAGTGTTCAAATCCAGACCAGATGCCTCTCTTTAAAAATAATAAGAAAGGAAAAAAAAATGCTGTCTATGAAATAAATTGGAAACTTGTTTGCGAAGGTCCGGCCCTCCCGCCCTTTCCAACGGGTGTTTTCCTGCTCGCAGGAGCGGGTGGGACTGGGGCGGCCCCCAGGGTCCAAGCGCAATCCAAGGGCTGCCCAGGACCAGGACAGCAGCGCAGCCACCAAGACAACGTGTCCCCCATGGAGCACATGGGGGGACAACCCCACGGAAACAGCCCTGGACACCTGGACACGGAGGGCGCGGATGGCGCGTCCGGAACGCCCGGACACGGAGCGAAGGGGCTGCCTGCAAGCGGAACTCCTCAGCCCTCAACTGCCACCATTTAGTCGTCAAAAACTAGTTTTTTCCCTCGCAGGTGTTGGTGGTCACTGCATTGGTGTAACACGGTCACAACTGGGACCACAGTATCTTGCTGTATAAGATTCATATATTAAATAGTAGGTGGGGACTGTTTTTTTTTCCCTTATATGCATAAGGACAGGATTTCTGTTGCTAGGTTCAACATCAGCTTCACTGTCTGTACATTTTTATGTAAATAGTTGTCACAAAAGCAGAAGAAGAGTTATTTATTTCCATCTCTGAATTCCTTTTCAATCACATCCAGCAAAAATGATTCTCAGTTCCCTAAGCACATTTGTTTCCTTATTTAAAAGATATTTATTAGAAGTTGGGAAAAATGCATACACATTTCTGTTTCTTTTCTTAGAGCAGTTGTCAGAAGCCTTTTGTACAAACCAGTAAAATAAATCCTTGCAACTTTACAAAAGATGTACCAACAACTTTGTGCATCTGTGTGGTTATTCTGTCTATATTTAAAAATGTTTTTCAGCTGGGCACCTTTTCTTTCCTTGTCCCCCTGTTTTTACACACATCTCTCTGCATGGGCAAAAGCAACACACATCAGCATCTGAGGCAGCCTCTTCGCTCAAAACACAGCAAAGAAGAAAATGAAAAAATATGAAAATGTTTTGCAGAGTGCACTGCAAAGATCCATGATTGAATTATAGTGCAGCTGTCAGCAGCTGTTTCAAAGAAGCAGGGGGTAAATTAGTTCTGTTTACTGCTAACATAGTTCAGAGATTTAGTCATCCCAATAAAATTATAGAGGCACAAGAAAGGAAAAAAGAAACTCCAAAGGAACATCAGCCAAGAAGCTGACATTTTCTAATTTAGATTCTTTTAGCATATTTCAGAGATGCTGCTGGCATGAGGTTTCCTACTGTGGATACCACACCGCATTGCTATGGGGGCAGCTGAAGAAAATCGTGGCCCCAAATCTCCGGATTAAGTAAACATTATATCTTCAGGACATAATAGCAGCTTTTGTGTTCTTGTTTACTTTGAACTGTGAGCAAGGTTGTGCCAGTTTATGTAAATGTATTTGCTGATCCAGAGGATTAAATCATCGGCATTTTGGAATTAAAACTACCATCTTTCACAAACGATTACAAACTCAAAAGCAGATTTGCTTCATGTGCCGATCTGAAGTTCAGCAAAATGTCAGTAAAAAGACCTCTATGAACCTAAGCGCAGGAAAGGTCCTGTAAGCCTAGGCTGTTTTAGAAGGAAGATCCTCAGGTGGTTCTCAGCATGGCTCCAACTTGCCTCATTTAAGACTAGTGCAAGTTATATGTCCTTCCAGCAAGAGGAAAGGTAGGGAGAAACAGGAAAAAAGAAAAACGATCAGCTTTATGGACCCAGCCTTACTATGGAGTAGCCAACAGAAGGTTTATCACTAGCTTCAGCAAGTCCAGCCCTGTATGGCCGAACACCAGCTGGTTTGAGCCCTGCCACGAGGACACGGCGCCCGCTGGACACGCTCCGCGGCGGCCTCCCCGTCTACTGTTCTGGACGAGAAAGCCTTGACATGAGGCTCTATGCTGCCATAAACTGGCAGGGCCATAAAACGCTAGTGAACCAGCTTCGGAACTGCTAGATTTATCTGAGTAATGACATTTTAAAGCACATTTAGAACCTTTTATAGATCAGTTATTCTAACTTCCTTTCAGGCCAAACTCAGAGGATATTATGTTTGCTTAACTGAGAGGCTTGAGCTCCGTTCCAGGACTGACAATAGGATCTCTTGGTCCTTAAGCAGGAAGCAGCCTCTGTGGCTGCCAAAGTTCATATAATAAAAGATAATTTATTTAAGGGAGGCAAAGTGCAATTTTAAGATTTCTGATTTTTATGGAAGTGTCAGTAGTAAAGCCTAAAAATGGAGCGGGAGAGCAGAGCAGGCCCGAGCGCGGCTCAGGGCAGCGCTGCCAAGGACAGCGGGGTTTCCTCCACGGCTCTACCCAGCCCTGTCGGCGCTGCCTGCACTTGGAACAGGCACTTTCTGCATGAAGGAAAACCAAAGAGACTCATCTTTCGAGTTCAGGATTGGCATCCTCAGTATATTTCTATCCAAATACCCCGCTTGTTGACTCCTGATGCTGCCATGGATGCATGTTCTCTGCATTTAGCCATTGCTTTGCAGAGAAAATCTGCCCAATTAAGGAAAAAAAGGAGCCCGTTTGAAGTTTTTATTTATCAGGTAAAGATTGACAAGAGCTTGAGGCAAAAAGAGAGAAGCACTTTATACTGCAGTCATTCATTACCCAAGCACAAAAGCAACACAAGTGGGTTATTACGGCTGCTTTGAGTTACTCCGGACAGAGAAGCATACTAAACACCCACACCTCTACTCCCTTTAACTTCATGCAGTAAATAGGTGTTATATTCCCAAACCAGCACCTGAGAAAGATACCTGTTTAAAATTTCTGATCTATGTGATGTGTGGATTTATTTCATTGTGTGCAGACCTTCATTTTCCTAGGGTCTATTTGCTGATCGAGGAGAGGCCTTTCAGTTTGAACATTTTGAATGCTCATTGGATACTGAAGTTTGCTACCTCAATAGCAATCTGTCATTTTCCCCAATTAACAGGACCCTGCTGTTGGAGGGAATTCCATAGGGGAAGAGGGCACAGCCTTTAGACAGCACTGGTCAGGTTTTGCATTTAAAAAGAAAGTCAGACAAGCCAGAGTCAAATTTGTCACCTTCACATTTTTCCAGCAGGCAAAAGAGTTTTTGGGAAAACAAGAGAGAAAAGCTGCAGCCTTAGTCCCACAAGCCCTCAGAAAGGCAACTTTCTCACTGGGTTAGCCATTTTGACCGTTTTTGCAGGCATAGTTGAGCATTTAACCATTTGCAGGACAAGACTCTACACAGGGCTGCCCAAGTTGACCTCTATCATCTCAACAAGCTGCCCTGCTTGGCTCCACTAAAGCCCAGTCCCCAGCCAGTGACAAATAATTTGGGAAAGGGAGCATTTGTGACCGCAGAGCGAGTAGCTGCATCCACTGCCCCATCCGTGGTGTTGCATATAATGAGAAACACACACGAGTCCTTCCTGAACCGAGGGTTGAGGCCGAATCAGAAGTGGCCTGAGTTGGCAGCTCGGTGCTGAGGATGGCCTTGGGCTAATGCTCTTGGTGGAGGCACTTCTTAAAGCGGAGGGGAGAGGGGAATAGCAGGAGCTCGGCTGATCCATCAGCTCCAGGGCATCGGCACCTGAGGGTCAAGCCCAGGCCAGTGCTGGAGCTCCAGAGCTGCACATGCAGGTTCGGGAAGTCACTGGCATGTGAAAAAGCCTCTCAGGAGGCCCCAGGAACCTTTCCTGCCCTGCTCTCCTCCCCGATATCACCGTGTGACCTCTCCAGCGAGGCCCGGAGCGGGCCGCAGCCAGACACTCACAGTGACACGACGCGAGGCGACCTTTGACTGGGCTAATGAAGGCAAACTGTTCCAAGCTGCTGCATTTATCCCTCCATTATTTGTTGCTGCTGTGTCAGGTGCTTCATATAAAATATGTGGAAGTGGAGAGATTCAGTGTCTGGATTCGGTTATGAAGGG